CACAAACCTTCAGCTGCCAAACTCTTACGAAAAGATCGGTGATGAGAAATATATATGGAACTTTGCCTGAAGGGTGTGTGGTTGATTCATTACTTTAGAAATCCTGAGAGTAACTAGAATAATAGAAACTGTTAGGTGTTTATGATGTGCTAATTACTGAGTCAAGACATTTCATGCATTGTTTTATTTAATCCTTACAACCAGTGGCTCCCCAAGTTCGTGTGCATCAGATTACCCCAGGGCTTGTTGAAGCACAGGTGCTTCTGATTCACTAGGGGTCTGAGAGTTTACATTTCTAATAAATCCGTTAGGTGCTGCTGCTGCTGCTGGCTGGGGGACCACGTTTTGAGAATGACTGCATGCCACAGACCTGGGAGGTAGGTATTTCAATCTGTATTTTGCAGGTGAAGCAACAGGAATTGAAGTTATGTAACCTGCTCAACCCATAGCTGACCATTGGCAGAGCTGGGATTTAAAAATGTGCTTCTTTGATTTCAAAATCTACTCCTGTGTGAGGTGGTTTCATAGTAAGATTCTGTCTGGGCAGGAGAGGAATAGTAACATTTTATAGCCCAGCAATAGGATAGGGCTCTTGGTGCTCTCAACACTGAGGTTCAAATATGATATAAAGTGTGGATGTTGTGAGATGGTTCTAATCAAAGCCAGGCTGTTGGATGGAAGAACATCACCCCTAAGAGGGAACTTATCATGAAGGTAGAAATAGCCTGGACTGGCGAGCAGCTTCCTCACACCAGCTATGGGATGAAGGGGAGTCTTGGTTCCAGGTCTGCAAAGTGTCCAGTCCCGGAATTGGTCCTCCACTGCCATCCTCGTGGGGACGCGCTCCTGAAAGACCGGCTGTGTGCGCGCCGTTGGAAGAGCTCCTGCGCTCAGGGCCTTGTGCTCTGAGAGGCCCTCGGTTGAATATAACAGGGAAGGAAGAAATGACCTCTCGCCAGGCCACAGTGCTCTGGCTTCCATCTCTGAAGGAGCAGCGAAGCAGGCACTGGGGACTGTAGATGGCGTTGAAGAGGGTTGGTTAGGGGGTTAGCAAGAAGCACAGGTGCCTGGGTCCGATCCCCGTCACCATGAGGCTGCTGGGGAGCTGGGTCCCCATGAGTTGTGTAGGAGAGGAAAAGAGCTCTATCAAGTAACCACTGTAGGACTTTGAGTCGTAACGAGCAACTTTATTGCCTGTAATTAAACTGCATGGATTAAAACAGCATTCCATCCCCCCTTCTGTAGGATGCTTCCTCGGAGGCCAGCGGTGACCTTCTGATTTTAACCAGCTTGCAGCCTGCAAAACCCAACTGCGCTGGCAGTGGCCACGGAACGTTTGTGAGGCAACTGGGACAGGAGAGGTGGGGAGGAGCCCGGAGCTGCCCTGGAGTGAGGCAGGAGGGTGGCCTCGCATCCCCTCTCCATCGGTAGGTAGAAAGGGGGGGGCTGGTTTGTGGACATAAGTATCGCTGGAGGTTATTAGTGATCTGTAGGGAAGGGGACTCCTCCATTTGCTCACCATCTGCCAGGTGAAGTCTCAGAGTCATTGTATTGCAGGGTGTTAAAGTGAGGCATTTTCTCTTTTGTACTCCCAGGTTGACGAAAACTGCAATACAGCGGTCATGTGAGATTTAATCCTGAGTCAGGGCAAGAGCTCTGATCTTGTTAAGTTAGCTGTGTTTGGCGCTTGATGTTGTCTTTAGTGTCGGCCCTAGTGAGCGACTTCTCCTGAGCAACCAGCACGGGTCCCTGTGGCACAGTCCGTCTGGTTTGACACGCTTTGCTTCCTTCTTTGCTTTGGCTGCTAGAATCTGAGTCAGATTGGTCACTCATGCATCACAGCTGAGTCAGATCTATTGTGCATTTTTGGACTATTTTATCATTTTTTCCTTCGCACATTTACCTTTTCCCTGTTATATGGTATATATTTTCCTAACCATCTACTTTTTTTGAAAGAAGGGAGAGGGAGTATGTCCAGAAATGTAGAAAAGGCTGAGAAAGAGGTAGAGAGAAAGGAAGGAAAGTTAACCCATTCTACAGAGAACATTTACACAGAGCAGCTTAACAATGTAAACAGCCCAATCCTGACTTCATGGAAGTAGGTGACTGATCCTAAATTAACTTGACGTATATCTATAACCAGCAAAAAAGTCCATTCCCTAATGAAGTACTGTTCTGCAAAACACAAATCGGTGATGAGCACTGTGTAAAATGACCCAGAGTCAACGGGAAGTAATGATGACAGATTGTCATGGGATTTACTCTCAAAGAGGAGTAAACGTGTTTTCTATCATATTGATGTCCAAAAGGGGCAGTGTGTCTTTGGGCAAACACACAATACAGCACCAAGTCTGAATCATTAATATAGATGAGTGGAAATTAGAATGCTGCAAGCAGCTATGGGGATTGCTTTGGGTAAGCTAGCAGTTAGGGGACATGACATTCCTGACCTTGAGCTCTGCGAGATTAGCAATTGCAATTCAAAGCTATAAATGCCGTAGTTGAGTTACATGTATATATTTATGGATAATTAATTCTGCCTGAGGAGGTCTGTAATATCTTCATGGGGGAGGGAGCCTTGGAGCTTATTCTGAAGAGAGGAAACTGCATACAAAAGGTAAGCAGGTGTCAAGATAGGTGGATGTTTGAGACCACCTACTATAGCTCAAGTTGACTAGAACACCGGACTAGGAAGAAACACACGCCCTAAACTTGAGTCATCTGGCTTCCAGAAAAGTTGCTTATAATAGCAGACCATCTTCTTTCACCTCATGATCAGTCATTTGTTTTGTTCTCACAAACCCAAAGCCTTCCTTTGAAGTTCTCTTACTACTCACTTTTTATTGGCCGAGTAGTTCTAAGTTATAATCAACCAAACAGATGCTAATATAAACTTACCGGCACTCATCCCAATGTGAAAAAGGGTTGGTATCTGGGGCTCTGCTATGATTACTTAGCTGTTAGCCCTGAATGCCTCTCTTTTGGGAGGACTGCTGAGCCAATTTTAGAATTCGGATACTTCTCTAAATAAACTGCTTTCGTATGGACTGATCCATTCTGTCCTCTAGTTCTGGAGATGCGGCTGGGACTTAGCTCATTACCATCACCTTAGCTGCGCTGCGCCGTGCGGGTCAGGTTCTCACAGGTGGGGGACAAGCCCTCCGAAGCACAGAGGTCAGCTGTGGG